TTACTCTTTTAGTGTGATCTCTTGCTTTGCTTTTGGCTTTTTTCTCCTCCTTGGGACTGCTCGGGACTCCCTAGAAAAATTGTCTTTCGCATTTGCAGTATATGGTTTCCGTTGCTCTCAAATATTTCAAAAAGGAAAGCAGTCCCCGACAAATTAGCCAATTTAAGTTGCTATCTCTTCACTTTTTTGGCATGCAGTTCCACCCTTATTAGAGGCCCTCCCTTTTCTCCATTGGGATTTTTTTTCATTTCGACCTACAAGTTTATCTCCCTTTCTTTAAAAAATAAAATAAAAAATTGATCTTATGTTTACAATAATTTGCACGTCTTTAACCTTTACAGAGAAGTAAATAATCTAATTTATAAATTAATGATACCCGTGCTCGTAGCCTGAGGCTCGTTGCCTGCTGGCCTACGTTGTTGTTGTTGTTTTCCAAAAATAGTTTCTGATGAACAAGTCTCCCATGTTCCACGACAGTTTATAGGGTCTCATGGCCATAGATGAATTTCCTTTTGAATATAAATCTGCCATCATTTGAATAAGAGTGAACCAACCTTCTCTCACCCTAGGCTTTGCTTTGGGCGGGAGGGATCTAGAATATATAATGATCTTTACGATTCAAGTTTACCTAGCCCTTCAGAGACTTCAAAAAAATAAAAACCCTTCAACTCAAACTCATGCAATAGAGTGTATATTTCTTTTACGTAACTATTTGTGTCATGTGAAAAAAGAAACAGGCACAATATATATATTTTTTTACATACCTTTTTTTTGGGGCGATGGGTACCTATTTGACCAAAGCCATTATCCGATCTCTTCAAAACTTCAAAAAGGGTTCATGGGCAGTCATCAAAACAGACTTTTCAAATCATAAAAGAAGCATATGCATAATGTTTGAACCTAATTAAAAATAAATAAAGGAATGATAGAACGAATTAAGCACTGGCCAGCAAGCTATTTCTAATCATTATGGTTTCATTTTTAAATATTAATTCCAGTAACTGAAAATAAAAATATTCAAGTTAGCTAAACCCTCTCCATTAGAAGAGATTTTTTAATGTGCCGAAACATGGAACGATACGCCATATTGTTATTATACAAGTGGAGAGAAGTTTTTTTTTTTTAAGTCTCTTCATTTGTATATAATAACATATGACGTATATGTTCGTGTTCCGAACATACTGAAAAATCTCTCCACTGTATCAGTCCATTGGCCCCATGAGCCACATGGTTGAATATGGATGAAACCCCGGCAAGCTTTCAAAAACCGATAGTCACCCTTATAAAAAGGAACTCAACAAAAAAAAAAGTTTCAAATAATACAATTAGTTAAAGAATATTAAGAAAAAAGAAACATAAGGAAAGATCAGGAGACAAAAATTGGAAATTGTCAAATTGATGGGGACTAACAACAAAGAGATTCCGAAAAACATTTCACTCTCAAGGCCCCGCCAACTTTTTTTTTTTTTTTTTAAGAGGCTACAACCCGCTTTACATGTCCTTTTTCTTCATAGCATACTCCTTTTTTGGTACTTAATTTGCATACTAAGCCAATTAGCCAACTGTGTAGCAACCCTCACCGTTTGATATTATTTACAGGGCATTACACATGCAAGTTACTGCAGAAGAAGAATGAAGGGTGTGGGGCAGAGAAATATGAGAGTGAATAGTTAATGAGTCGTTTGAGAACCATGTCGGTTTTATTTTTTGTTTTTTGTTTTAATTAGAGAGATGTAGAAGAAATATATAAGAAATATATAAGAAAGTGTACAAGAAAAAGCACACAAAATAAAGAGTAGAGGAAGGATATTGATGAGAGAGAGGTAAAAAATGTAGGCTTTTTAGCCAAAATGGTTCCTGAGATTTGCATAACACATCACTTTGGTATCTGAGATTGAAAATCAATAGAAACGGTCCTTGAGATTGTCCACCATCCATTATTTTGGTCATTCTGTTAAAAACTCCGTTAAATGTCCGGAGCTCTTGGCTTGAAGTATGGACAATTTTCAAAGCTTCGTAACTCGATCGTTTCTTAACCAAATTCGATCCATAATATATCAAAATGAAGATAAGAAAGTGTAGAACAAGATTATACCTATTTGGAAGCACAATGATTTCCATAGATGGCCAGAAAATAGCCTGAAATGTGACTGGTCCGTGGGAAAACTGTAAAACTCGCCGGAAATTGGTTAAACTTTAAACGTTCATAACTTCTTCAATACTCAACGAAATTGAGTGATTCAAAAACAAAAATCATACTTCTCAATGAGAGGAAGATAATGGTACCTTTCTCAACAGCTAATTCGCCTTTTTTGTCCGAAAAATGGCTCAAAAGTCTTTCAAGCCGTTGTTCGGCCAAACCACGGTGATTTAGCCATCAAGAAATGTACCATTATCTTCATCTCATTGAGAAGTATGATTTTTATTTTTGAATCACTCAATTTCGTTGAGTATTGAAGAAGTTATGAATGTTTAAAATTTACCCAGTTTTCGGCGAGTTTTCCAATTTTCCCGTGGACCGGCCATCTCTGGCAACCATTGGGCTTCCAAATAGGTATAATCTTGTTCTATACTTTCCTATCTTCATTTTGATATATTATGGGTCAAATTTGGTTAAGAAACAATTGAGTTACGAAGCTTTGAAAATTGTCCAAACTTTAGGCCAAGAGCTCCGAGACACTTCAAAAGTTTTTAATGGAATGACCAAAATAATGGATGGTGGACAATTTCAGAGACTAAAGTGATGTGTTATGCAAATCTCAGAAACCATTTTAGCTAAAAAGCCAAAAAAGTATAAGAAAAACCAATAAAGGGAAAAGAAAAAATGAAAACCTATTTTGAATTGTTTTCAAATTTCATGATTTGCATTTTTTTTCTTCCCCTCTCTCCCATCATTCTTATTCATATCCCCCATTTCACCATATGCTTTCATCATATCTCAAGCTCAAAAAATAAAAAATTAAAAACTAAAAATAAAATGATTATCAAACGAGCCCTGTGATAACCATTTCGTTTTCAATTTTCAATGTTTGTTTTCACTTTTTTGAAAACTCTAAACTAAAATCTTGTTTGGTCACTACTTTCAATATTCAAAATATAATGAGCACTGAAAACTATTTTTTTAAGCTTTCAAAATTTGTCCTTGAGTTTTTACTTTTTGGTTTTCAGTTTTTATTTAAAAAAAAAAACTGAAAATAATTAATTACCAAACAAGATTTAGTTTTCAATTCTCAAAATAGTGAAAACTAAAAACCAAAAATTAAATGCGAAATGGTTATCTAACAACCCCTAAGATAATCTTAGATATTGATTGTCTTGCATCTTTTAGCCACTATGGAGTGCATGACTAAAGTCAGATTTCTTCTTAATTTCAACATATGAAGACCACAAGTAATTAATTAATTACCATTTTAACCTAGTTAAAGATATGACTGAACCTTCAAGCGCCAAATATGGGTTTAGCAAAGGTATATGCATGTTACCTTAGGGTTCTGTTCGTAGCAAATTGGGTTGTACTCGTCACAATCATGTGGTCACGTCTTGTCGCAAATCTGAAAGCAACCAGCCTGCAAACCTTGGACCATTCACTGTAGATTACTAAGACATATATTCATGTTAAGTACTCAATGGCATGCATGCATGTCCATGGATGAGGCGATCGTACTCGTACCAGATCATAATAAAGAACCGTGATTAGTCCATTGGCTATTGGGAAGTATATATTTCTCTTTCTTTTTGTTTTTGGCATCAAAATCCGCAGAAGAAATTGATGACATGTTTAATCTCGAGCTACATAAATTTGAAGGGAGTACTACTATACTAGTGGCCCTTAAATTGAGAAGGCGATCCCCACAATTCGTTGAAACTGAGGAAAAAGTTGTAATTAATGTAGAGAATATAATTTGATTCTAATTTTTCTTTTTTAGCTTTGATACCTTTAATAACAGAATATTGACTGCAATTCAATTGAAGAAAAAGTAATTAAACACATGGTTAGCAACAATTATGATAATTACTTTTTAATTTTCATGTGTGTGCTATAGATAGAGGAAAAGTATGCGGGAGAAAGGAAGATTGAATACAGGCAAAGTAAAGATGGTGGAAGAAATGTGAAAAGAATGTGTACGAAATGAGACATAAAATTAAAACTGAACAATTTCAAAGTTGTTTTAACTTTCAATTTAGTTTCTCATTTCCCTCAAAAACTTTTCTTTTATTTCTAACATAGAAAATAAAAACTAAAAATTAAAAATGTAATTGCAATGAACTAGCTCTATATACTTCTAATTCAGGCTGGAGCTACATGAGTAAATATTATTTAGTTAACTGCCACATATTTAATGAGTGTTTGAGTTATAAACTTAGTTAAGAATGTGCACAATTATACTTGTGGTCAGTTCATGGATGCAGCTATGATATGACTTTGGATAGGACTGAGGGAGTCTGAGAGATGTGATATTCAACCAGTATTTACAATTGCAGTTGGAGTGGCCTTATTGCTTACAAAAATCATTTTCTCGGACTTCATTATTTGTACCGCTGTTTGTTGGTGATGCTCGATATACATAAAGAGCTCTATAGATTTACGTAATAACTGAACATTTTCTTTCTTATCTCTGCATATGTCTTCTTATTAATTCGAGAAAATGCATTTAAAATAGTGCATATTACATATATGTTACAATTAGAATGTCCATTTGCTTATGTTAATTAATTATATTTAATTTATTGAATGTGTGTGTGTGTGTGTGTGTGAATGTCCATTTGCTTATGTTAATTAATTATATTTAATTTATTGAATGTGTGTGTGCGTGTGTGTATTGTGTGTGTGTTGTGACTGTTGTCTGAATAATGCATGAGATTAAAAGATGAGTTGGAATGAGATAGAGAGGAATGGGAGACATCCTTTCATCCTTTGATATTATTATTAGATGCAAGGTCATAGTCATTCTTTTTTAGTGTACCTCCCATTTATCACTTTGTCTTTTGCCTTCATTCCTTCTCATGTCCACTAAATACTCTACTCGCCTCTTACTCCTAGCCTCTCCCCCCATTACCTTTTGTCACTGCATTTTCAGCTGTTCTCTCTCTCTCTCTCTCTCTCTCTCTCTCTCTCTCTCTCTCTCTCTCTCTCCCTCCCTCCCTCCAATTAGGGTTTCCTCTTTCAGGTATATCTCCCCTCCAGTAACAAATCTTTGATGCTTTCTCCTTCAATTGGCTAAGGCTAGCTAGCTCATAAATATATATATCCTGGAAGGAGCTAAGAACACATACAGCTAGCTCTTAATTACTTGCAAGAGCTCCGCAAGGGAAAGAATAAAAAGGTATAAATTCCCTTTTTTATTTTTCCTTTCATCAGAGAAACGTATGTAGATCCCTGAAAGGTAAACATGTGTAACTTGTCCTTTAAATGTTAATTATATATATTCTACATAAATCCATACTGTGGTATCTATTTCTTTTGGAGGCCTGCATAGCCTAAAGGCTAATTAAATAGATATATAACTACATCCTTTGGGTTTAGCTTAAATTCTATCTTAATTTCCATGTTAGTGGACCTTCACTAATTAAGATGTGTAAACATATCTATAATGGGTGAGCTTGCACTAGTCAGATCCCAGTTTAACTGATTAATTTGGAAATTAAGGATTTATGATATGATATGCTGATGACCTTATACATATAAACTTGCTCATGCATTATTTCAGTTCTGCTTCTAATTAAGTGGCCAAGTGGATGGTGGGAGGAGAAAGACGAGGGGAGGAGGGGGGGATGTAAAATTAATTAAGAATTAGAAAAGACAAAATTGGAAACCTAAATTAAGGAACCATGCAGATGGCCCTGCAGGGAGAGCGATCAAGGCAGCGATCACATGCAAGAATTAACTAAACTACCTTAATTTCTATTATTAAAATGGAAAAGACTGATGAGAGCCAAAAGAAATTAATTGAGAATTTCCAGATTCAAGAGATAGCTCAGTTGCATGAATTAATTGAATATATATATATATATATATATATATATATAGAGAGAGAGAGAGAGAGAGAGAGAGTATACTGAGAGAAAGGAGATGGTGTTGGTGGTGGTTTGGATGAGAGATTATATACATATATATATATATATATATATATATATATAATGTGTGTTTCTGTGTGTGTGGTTGTTCTGATCGTCCTTGATGCATTTAACAGATGAAATCTATATAAAAAGGGAAGTTAGAAACTAAGAAAAATAAAGGGAAATATAGTAAAAGTTTCAACTGAATTATATTTCTAATCTAGTTATTGTAAACAAAATGTTCACTCAAAAATAAGGAAGAAACGAAATAAATAGTTTTTTGGTATTAAAATAGAGAATATTTCAGTAAAACAAAATGTAGACATGTTTTTTTTTTATGTAAGAAATTAATGAGGGTGTGGGGTGTTAATTTGTTTAGATATTAGCTTTGGTGTGCAGTGAAATAATTTAAAATGGCATCCTCCAGCTCCTCCTATAACTCTCCATGCGCTGCCTGCAAGTTCTTGAGAAGGAAATGCATGCCCGGCTGCATTTTCGCACCGTATTTCCCACCAGAGGAGCCCCAAAAGTTTGCAAACGTCCACAAGATCTTCGGGGCAAGCAATGTCACCAAACTTCTAAACGAGCTCCTGCCTCACCAGCGTGAGGATGCCGTGAACTCCCTGGCGTATGAGGCCGAGGCACGTGTCAGGGACCCGGTCTATGGCTGTGTTGGTGCCATTTCTTTCCTCCAACGACAGGTCCAGAGGCTCCAGAAGGAGCTCGATGCCGCTAATGCTGATCTCATCCGCTATGCCTGCACTGAACTCACAACAACTGTGTTGCCTCCTCCTACTGCATCAATGGCCGGGATAAATTCGGTAATTCAGCCGAACATGGCTCCTCAGAGAAGGTTGGTTGATCATCCTTCTCATCATCATCAGTATTACCAACAAACCAGTACAACTACAACTAGTAATGCTCCTGGAGTCGCTTTCCCAGTACCTTATCTTCCGTGGAATGGAGGAGGAGCAGGTAGTGGTGGTGGTGGAGGAGGAGAGGGCAGAATGTGATTTAAGATTTGGGATTTTGAGGTTTGAGACCCTAGCTTTAGCTCATCACAATAATTGACAGAGGTAAATAAAACCCAATTCAGCTAGGGTTTGGTTGTGTCAGGCAGGTGTGGTATTATATAGATATGTTTACAAATTGTTGTAGTAGAACTCAGCAGGGTCTCTATGCCTAGCCTCACGTGTAGTAGTACTACTACTCTGATCTTATATATTTATATATAAGAATTTGTAGCTAGCTAAAGCCAAATAGATCGGCTTAGCAGTTTCATTGTTTCCCAAGTATAACTTGGAGTTGGTGGGTTCAGTGCTAGCTATATACCTAAATTACATATTCTTCTACCCAAATAAGGCTTCGGTTTAATCAATAATATTGGAGCATCTAAATATGGCAACTGTGTCATTAATTAGTAGTGCAACTATATGTGAAGATGCGCATGCCATGCAGGGTTGACATTCTCTGCAGTCACTAATGAAGTGTTTATATGTACTTAATAGCTAAACAGACAAAAAATGTGTGTATAAACATTAATTAGTATATTGATTAGTTCTTTTAATAAACTACTGATGATCATATAAAGACTAAAGAGGATTATTCTTGTGTGTGTGCCTAAGTATATAGAGGGGGTTAGTCCTCTTTTCACTATTCTCACCATTGTTTCTGCTGCTCCTTTAATTGCATGTTGTGATGAGGACCATTTTACATGTTTAAATAATTTAAGTAGCTCACTCATGCTGCTGTTTTTCAATATTATTTCATAAATACAATTAACCTAGCTAATAACCTAATCATGGTCCTATTTATCTAATGATCAGAATTTTCATTTCATGGTGTAGTGTGCATGTGTGTTGGCCAAGCTAGCTAGCTTGAAACTTATTAAGGGTAACGCTAGGGAGATTAATATTTTAAATCAAATTCTTTAAATCATATGACGTGATTGTTGATGATTAAATTATTACTTAAGTATTGATTAGTGTGCTTATTTTTTATTGGTAACAAATCGTATGATTTGTAAATTTGTTCTAAAAAATTTATCTACCAAACATTACTTGCTTCTAAAACATTAGCTAGAATTTTGGGTTTTTTTTCCAATAAAAGTAAAACTTCTTACAATAATTATGTAAGAGAAGGTATTTGAAAGAGGAACGGTGTGAAATTCAACCTTTTGTGCGTGCATGTGTTCCAACTTGTTTGAATTGTAGTGTTTATCATGTACTTGATAGTGTGAATCTGTTCCTCCTCCAAATATTAAATCAATTTGTTATATTTTTTGTGTATAGTATTAGGTATAGTTGCAGAGATATCTGAAACAGCACCACGTACAGTCTCTCCCTTATTGGATCCGATACATAAATTGCTGTACTTGTTCTCTTCCAAGTTCCAACTTGTACTCACTCTTTCCCTCACTCATCTGCCCCAAAAGCTTACCAGCAGACAAAACAGTAAAACCTTGGATATAAAAAGTCTCAACACAGTCCTAATATATTATCATACCCATCTCTCCCTCTGTCGTCCTCTCTCTCTCTCTCTCTCTCTCTCTTGTAATATTACTTTTTTATGATGATTAGCTTAATTACACTAACAAAATGTCAAATGTTCCATCGGGAATCTCAAAAAATATTTATAAACCCTTCACAGCTGCTGTTGAAGCCCTGCAAAGCAATTAGGGTTTTTTCGGTCAAAGCAGCAATTAGGTTAGGGTTTAAAACGAATTAACTGCCGAAGTCAACGAAAGCATATTCTATGCTTTACTCAGCAAATTAAGGGTAATGCAACAACTTGATCAACTAGTGCAAAATAAGGCATCATTATATTTATATTACGATTAAACTTTCTGAGATTCGACCAAATATTGTATGATATCTGATGGAGAGAGAGAGGAGGATAAAGAGAGACATTGATTTGAATTTCCTTATGTTCTTGGACTAGTACTGTGAAATTCTTTTTATTTCAATCTCTCTTTCTCTCACATGCATACTTTGATATGTTTTTCGTAATCTGTAGCGGCACCAAACTTTCATCATCAAAAACACGCACACCAACTTTTCTGGTTCTCTCTTCACTTTTGACAGTCTTCTCACTCTCTCCAATATAACCACAAAAGCACTCATTAAAATAAATAAAATTAAAGAAACTTTAACGAAAAATTTTCGGTACTATTTATTTTAACGAAGAATTATACTTTTACATTAAAAAATCAATGAAAATATTATTTACCGTTATTTTGTCATTTTTGTTAAAACTCAAAGTTTTTAAACTATTTTTCTTACTTTTCCTTAAAATAAAACTTATCATTATCCCCCTCTCTCTCTCTCTCTCTCTCTCTCCTCTCTCTCTCTCTCTCTCTCAAACACAAACAGAGAGTCCGAATGAATGAATGAATGAAAGGATGGTATCCGGAAGTGGGTCAGCTGTGGTTCCAGTGAGAGTCACGTCCATTGTCCTCCAACTATAATCGTCGCCTCACCTTTTTCTTCCTTGCAAATTCTGGGGCAACCAAATCCAATCTTCTTATCTCAATTCCACATACCCCATATTCAATAACTGTTTATACTTCATTAATAGATGAGTAATTGGCTAGTAGCCTGGAACCAATATATCAAGTACAGTACTTAATTAGCACACTAGAGAAAAAGTTCGGTAAAGGTTTTATCATTATCACATGATGAGTGAGTGAAGGCTTTATCATTATCACATGACGAGTGAGTGACTCTGTGCAATTGAAACTAAAGAAAATTTAAGTTTCATCATAAAATCAATTGTTAATATATGAAGTAGTTCAATATTTATAAGCACATACAAGGTATCTTCTTGTACTGATGTGGGGATTAATACTCTCAACACACCTCTCACGTTTGACGAATTTTCAAGTCAAGCACATGGACAACATAAATTGGGTGACGTGAAGAACTTGTGGTTGTTGGGCTTCACACGAAGGACAACTTGTTTTGATATCATAAAGAAAGTTAAGGTTCCAACATAAACCAATTGACAATACGGAGAACAGCTCAATTAATTATAAGTATATGCAAGGTCTCTTCTTTCTTACTGTGGAGATTAATACCCTCAACATGAGCAGTATAAGAAGAAAAAAATTAAGTATATTGTCTTTCACGTGGTGCTACTAGCTATTTCATATTTGTGCGTGTTATCTTTTAACTAAGCAATGTCTTCGACAACTAAGCTTTCTACGTGGTAGACAGGGAAGTTCTTAGACTCAGGTGTTTCTTGATTAGTACACTAGTTTATTGACCAAATATAGTCAAAATATCAACAAAAGGTCAACCAGATATACATCTATAACTGATACCAGCTTCTGAGTTTTGGTAAAATAGTCATCAAAACAACTCTTACCATTTTAAATAATCTCCCAAATAACAGATTTGTAAGGTAAGTATGATTTAGCTACTATATCAACTGTGGTTTGAGATGCTATGGTTAGTGGCGGATCCATAGAATTCTAATATTGGATGGTCTCAATATAAAAGTTCCAAAAAAAAAATAGACGAAAATAAAATTGAAAATTTGAACGATAAACTACCAACTCTTCATTCATATATCTTTGTACAAACAACATTACAAGCTACAAAGACTAATTTGTCCACAAGGTTTCAAGCTCTGAAAACGTGTCATGATAGTTTTATTGTCAATACAAGAAAAAACGTATTTCTCAATGTAAACAACTAAGTTATCATTTAACCATTCATCCCCCATTTTGTTGCTGAGTAGATAGGATACTTAGGGCGGAAGCGTCGATGTTTTATTGGATTGGAATTATCCAAATTTGAAGTTGAACATTTTGGAATAGAATTGTTTGAACTAATCGATAATGATTTTTGCTTGTAATATCGTTTCATACTTCTAATTTCTACACATTTTAATTAAGCAAATAAAAAAACATATAATTGATGAAACTAACATCGATCCAAACAATATCAAAAAATCATAACAAATCAACACTAACTATAATCTATTATGAATTTAAATTTCTCATCCAATACACATCGATTTTAACGTCCTATATGATAATTTTTGCACTAAAATACAAAACTTGCTTAAATTAGGGGATTAAGTGGTGGTGGTGGAGAAAAGTGAACCAGGTGTTGGTCGGGAAGAGGAGACATGTGGAGGCGTGGAGCAACTGGTGGTGGCCTATGGATTGGTTGGGTGTGGTTAGCCAATTAGCCAATTCGGAATTTGAATTGGGAATGAGCTAATTAGGGAAAGTGAATTGGATGAAGTCTTGAGGTTTCGGGTAGAGGAAAGAGAATAGGCTCTCTATCTTTTGTGTGAAATAAAAAGGATGAGGCTCATGTGGCTTAATTAATAAGAAAACTATTTTTTTTTTAAATGGCTTAGCCAAAATAATGCATTGTTTGGCTCAAAACAACATTGTTTTGACTTAAGCCATTTGAAAAAAAGAAGTCTTTTTCTCTTTATGGTTTCATTTGCACAACTTAAATGCAGCGGTCGCTGTACTCTTCTGCTTCACCACTTGCATATCATACTGATGGTCCTTGAAAGTTCTCACAGCCTGGGAGCAAGCATGGCTTCCCAAAGTCGCTTTTTGCCATTTAAATTTTTTAGAAAAACTAATGAAAAAGATTTGAAGATTTTGAGTTTTAACTATAAAGATAAAATAAAGGGTAAAATAAATAGTACTATAATTGACTTTTTAGTTTTAAAATGTGATTTTTCATTAAAGTAAATAATACCGGAAATTTTTCGTTAAAATTATATTTTTTATTTTTTATTTTTTATTAGGTTTGGAGTTTTCGGGTACAATATATATTAGTTCAGAATCCATCAACCATCAATCTTCTTCTCTGCAAAGACGTGGAAAAGAAGCAAGGAGCTAGTGAAATATGGCAGGAGAGGTTTTATATTATTAGCTACAAAGGACAAATAAGACAACAGGACATGGGGCTCCTATTTTCTGCCCCCACCACAAATTCTGTATGTTCCCACCTTGATTCATTCAATTCATGAGTTTTACCGAAGTAAGAAGGTACTGGCACAATGCTATATACATGCTCAGCATATGTATATTTTAAGTTTAACTTAGGTTGTAACTTCTTTTTCACCTTAAGGACGGCATACACATAACTAATTAACTCTTGAATGTTTTGTGAATACATAAGTTATAGATTAAAGGGATAAGAACAATTATTTGATTATAGAGACCATTGTTGATGCACAAAATCAGTGGGGACTTTGGTACAACAGAAAATGTTAAGTTTGTGACCTTCGCTAGATTGCTCCGGTCACTAGTGTGGATAAGTATGTAAATGGATAGAGACAGGGAAGCAAACACAAGATGTACGTGGTTCATCCAGATTGGCTACGTCCACAGAGTAGATGAGTTCTCATTAATTGTGAAGGGTTTAC